GGTGGCAAAAAGTAGCTTCAGCAGTATGAGAAAACACAGCAGGCTGGATTTGTGTTCCAATTCAAAAGTACAGAGAAGAGTAGGGAAGAGTCCCCCATCAAATAATTAGCTTTATTTGCCTTGATTCCTTTTCTCTACTAGAAACTGTGGCATTTAAGTCTCCACTAGCTGCAGCAAAACGTATTTCCAAGGGTCGGTGTTATTAGTTTCACTTCCAATTAGAGCTGGATTTCTATCCCAGATGCCAAGTCCTCATACTGTTCTTTCAGGCTTTTAGAAGAGGTGTTGCATTAATGTATAGAAGATCCTTGTGTGTGTGTGTGTGCAATCTTACTGCCGTGTCATTGCTCACCTCCCTGCTACTTCACTGTTGCACCCCTTTGAGAATCAAACCCCAAATGTTGAACACGCGCAGAGAGCGAATCCGGCAGGCACAGAGGAGCGCTCCCATAGCTGTGCACACAGCAGAGCCCTGCCCCTCTGCTTCGGTTTCAACCCGCTGCTTTTTTGTCAGGCAAATCCCTCACTCCCTTCCGTGGAAGTTTTGGTAAAGTCTGCAAAATATTTCCCTGGGACCAGAAAATGAGATTCTTCCTGTGCCAGGGAATGCAAAAAGAAGCCCTGTTTATGTAAGAGTTTGGTGGTGTGTACAAATATAACACTTAAATATAGTGTGTTAAATGTGTGCAGCATCAATCAAAGGAAAATGATTGCTGGATTTTACAACTATCAGCGTTGCACCTCCCTGCCAGCAGATCTGCTGCCATCCCTTGAAGGTTGCATCATCCTTTCTCTTACTTCTGTCTCTGGATACACTGGAACAATTGTAAAAAAAAATATTCAGAAATAGCCACAATCTGTTAAATTGTGTCTCATGTCAAACGACCCCAGCCCTGCTTAGGGAGTGCAGGAACAAAAGGCGGTTTGCTCGGAGCCCTGCGCACTGGAGCAGCCCGAGGGAGCAGGGCTTGCTGTGCTCTCTGGAGCTGATCACGGCCTTGAGAGAACTTTGCCTGCTCTCAGGGAATGGGGATCTCGAGCTGCAGGGTGCAATTGGGTCGGTCAGCAATGGAGTGAGAGCGTGTTTGGAATTCACAGCCTAACTCCAAAACGCGTGGTAAAGAAATACGGCCGTAGTCACTGTCTCAAATTGAAAATAGTGAGAATAATTATTTCTGAGGAAGGTAATAAAACTGCTATTTCTCTGCTGTAAATTAAAAATAGATGTACGTTGAAATTGTGCAAAATCCACTCTGAGCTATAGAAACTAAGTGCTGGCAGGGTTTTGATACAACGTGTGGCAAACAAAGCGCTTTGTTAACATGCAGATTTCATAAAGCATTCGTTTTCTTGGCCGACTTTGAAGACTTTACAAAATGGTTTTAATTCCTCAAATGCGAGATCTGAAAATCTGATGCTCTTTTTCTTTCCCATAGGATTTTGCACAGAGCTCAGGCCAAATGGATAATCTGTTATCTCAGCAGAGGGGTATGTCTCCATTGAATGTAACGGAGTACAACTGGGTAACAAAATATGTACATACTGTGTTTTGCTGTGATTTGGATATTTTTTGCATCTGCATCACCATAAAAAGGAATACAGTAAACTGCAAAATGATTTTCCAGTCTTGGGAGAGGCTCTCTAGCTTAAAATCTGACCTGAAAGTATGCGACTTCCAGTCTTTGCTCACAGTATCAGGAATCTGGGCTGTTAATCTTTATTAAACGCTACGTGGTATTCTGTCTTAAAACGTGATACTGTACGTGCACGTATTTAATTAGCTGTCACAAAGGCTGCTTTCAAAAGTCTTAGGTTACAGCAGCCGTGCAGCCATCCCAACACACCCGAGGAGCCAGAAATTAGTAAAATACTGTCCTGTAATTATTCCACAAAGTTCCTTGGGCTGCAGGAGTTGCAAATACTGCATAAAAAACAGCTAACCCACCTATGCTGGCCAGTTGGAAGGCGCTCAGCTAAGGCAGCTCTTGCTCATTAAATAGATGGGAAATTGAAGTATGCTGGTGGGGAAAACATCTGGAGTCACCCACGTTTTGCATGAAGTGCATCTCCCGTTTCTCCCTCATAGTGGGCAGAGTTTCACCACAGCATTGCTGGGGGGTTGGCAGGGGAGGAACGGTTCTAGCTCTAAGTCACAAGATTTTTAAAAATACACTGCAAAATGAAGGTAGGTATGGTGTGATTTTTACTGTCGGCATTCTCCCTTCCAGTCTGAGGCAGCCTCGTGCAATGTCTGCAAAACAAACTTTCCAGAATTAATGTGTTTGCATGAGAATCAGCTTGAGAAACAGCTAGAATCCAAGCAGGGAACTGCTTTTTATTTTCATTATTCAAACGGAATGAGCTTTTAAACAAAGATGACTACGTGGTGACATGAGAGTGTGATTTCTGAACATTCCCCAGATGCAAAAAGAGGAGATAATAATAGCAGCATAGGCAGGATTATTTTTATCTATTTTATCATGCCAGTGTGAAGGGCAGCATCCCCCCAAAATGCAAACAGGAACAAAAGTACTGCTCATAACCAGGAGGGGAACGGCTCCTTGTGAGGGTGGATAGTGATAGCACGAGGGGGAATGGTTTTAAACTGAGACAGTGGAGGTTTAGGTTAGATAGTAGGAGGAAGTTTTTCACACAGAGGGTGGTGAGGCACTGGAACAGGTTGCCCAAGGTCTGTGGCTGTGGATGCCCCATCCCTGCAGGCATTCAAGGCCAGGCTGGATGTGGCTCTGGGCAGCCTGGGCTGCTGGTTGGTGACCCTGCACCCAGCAGGGGGTTGGAACTGAATGAATATTGTGCTCCTTTTCAACCCAGGCCATTCTGTGATTAAAAGAGAACTTGGGAGTTCTCCACTGCTCAGTTCAGGGTTGGGCCTCACAAACCTTGGCACATGTGTGCAGCCTGCTGTCCTCATGGGAAAGCTGTGGGTCTGGGGGCTGAGGAGCAGCTGCTGAGGAGGCAGGGCCGGATGAGGGCACGCACCAAACGCTGTGGGCTCAGAGCCCTGCACTCACCTCCCTGCATGGCGTGAGGACTGGGGGGGGGGGGGTGAGGAGGTGACGTGGCCGGAGTTGGCCGCCTGTTCATTATTCTTGTTTTATTGCCATCTTTCTGAAGAGGGAATAACCGGATAATTTTACCTTCTGTCTCCCACAGAGAAGCGGTTCTGCGCTCAGGACTCCCTCGAGCTGCCCAACCGCTTCCCCCGGCAGTGCTGGGAGGAGGCCCGGCAGTTCTTCCTGCGGCGCTGAGGGCCGCGCCAACGCACCACCGCTGCTGCTGTAGATACGTGTAATTTGCACTATTTATATCCCCAGCACTGTAGATACTTTCGAGTTCTGTTTTGTAATTTTGATAATTGGAGTTAATTTCAGTCGTGTGTCCCAACGTCCCGGATCCTTCCTACGGTGTAGTGTGCTGGCATTGGAGCTGCGGAGAGGAGACTGCAAGCAGAAATGCCTTCTGTACATCTGTAATAAAGTAACTTATTCTGGCTGTGGTGTGCTGGGCTCTGAGTTGCCATGAGGAAAGGCTCTGGGGGGGGGGGCTGGGATCGGAACGGGCTGTGGGGAACCTTCGCTTGTAGTTCAGTGGCGACTCGTGGCGGCGTAACACGGATTTTGTAAACCACGCACATTTTCACCGTTTCGATAAGACTTTAATAACGCTCCTTTCAACCTTGTGCTGTTCTCTTAACGGGGTAAAGTCTCCACGAACCGCAATTAAAGCCTGCGAAGCAGCTGCCGTCTCCTCGAGCTTTCTTCCGCGCGCCGCCCGCCCCGAGCCGCCCTCGTGCCCGCTGTGCCCCCAGCAACCCGGCCCGGGGCTGACGGCGTTCGGCCGCCCTGATTTCCTGTCCGATCTGCGGGCAGCCGGAGCTCCCCGCAGGTAACTCCGAGCCCCGCGGTTAAGCGGGGATCCCTCCCACCCGCCCCGGGCCGGCGGCCGTTCCGCAGCCCGTCTCTTCCCCTCGTAACCCGGGCCGCCCCGTGAGCCCGACGGCCCCGCAGCGCTCGACCCGCGGCTGTCCCCGCGCGGCCGGAGCTCCCGCACCGCCCCACGACACCGCGGCGGCTCCGGGAACGCGAAAGGTCGGGGCCGCGGAGGGCCGGCCAGGCTGAGAAAGGGGAGGGAGAGGCGGGGAGCCGGAACGGGAGCGCGGGTGGAGGAAGGAAGGCGAGGAGCCGCTACCGGGGAGAACGGAACGTCTGTGTGCGAAGGGGAGCCCCGCGGCAAAGCCCCGCATCGCGGCAGGTGCGGGCCGGCCCCGGGCGCTGCCCGAAAGGGAAAGCCGCGCTCCGCCTCCCGGCTATAAATAAACGGGCGGCGGTCGGAGCCGATTAGCGGTGCGGGTGGCGATGCCGCAGAGCCGCGCCGCGGGCTGAGCCCGCCCCGCCCGGAGCTCCGTTTCGTTGCAATGTTTTCGTTTTCCTTTTTTTTTTTTTTTTTTTTTTTTTTTCTTTCTTTTTGTTCGTTTGTTTTTATTAAGTCCAAAATATTTAATCCCACTATTCAACCGCTGACTCTGACAATAAATAGCAATAACTTACTTTTGTTCGTTTAAAGGCTCAAACAATCCGTCCTCCGTCCGTCGCTAACGCCGGCAGCGCTGTGCCGTCGCACCGCCCCGTCTCCGCGCTCCGGCGCTGCGGGAGGCACCGGCGTGAGGCGGCCCCGACGGCCGCGGGGCTCCGTTCCCCATTCGCTGTGATTCGAGTTTTCGTTTCTGTTCCAGGCGAGGAAGAAGAGCCGGCGCCGCGCCGGGCAATCCGCTTTCATCGGGGAAAAGAAACATCGAAATACGCAGCGCCGAACCTCCGCGCAACGAAATAAGCGGGGCGGGGGCTCTCCTCTCTCTTTCTCTCTCCGGTCCGGTAAAGGCAGCGAGAATCCCGGCTCTTTTCGGCCGTCGGCAAGGTACGTTCGGTTTGGTTTTAAATAGGGATAATTAAAAGACAAAGGCGCTCGTCCGGCGCGCTGGGCGCGGCGCGGGGCCGGGTGTCTCATGCAGGGAGCGCGGCATGCGGAGGTCCCGCGGCGGCGGGAGCCGGACGGCCTCACGTCTCGGCCGGGCTGGGCACCATGCTGTTGGGAGTGTCGGGGAGCTGGGAGGAGAGCGAGGTCACGTCGCTGCCGGAGGACGTGCCCAAAGAGCCGGACTCGGAGAACGAGACCTGGGGGAGCAGCGGCGATGAGCCCCGCGGCGGCCCGCCCGTCCCCGCCCCGCACCGCTCCCCGCCGCGCCCGAGGCTCACCAGCTGCTGGAAGGCGGCGGGCGGCTCCAGGTCGCTCTGCAGCGCGAAGTCGCTGAGCGCCTTCCAGGGCGGCTGGTAGGTCTGCACCTCCACCGCGCTGCCCTGCACGGCGCTCTCGTGCCGGACGGGGCTGCCGGCCACCAGTGGCGTCCCGGTGAGGCCCTGCAGGCTCTGCGGGCACGCGGCGCTTCAGCGCGGCGCCCCGACTCCCCCCCCCTGTCCCCTCCCGAGCCTCCGCCCGGCCGCTCACCGTCTTGTCGCTGTGCTGCTGCTGCTGGAGCTGCTTCATGAGGATGGACTTCTTCTTGTCCTTGCAGCGCTTGTTCTGGAACCAGACACGGATGACGCGCGGGCTGAGCCCCGTCATCTCCACCAGCTGCTCCTTCATCAGGGCGTCGGGTCTCGGGTTGGCGGCGTAGCAGGTCCGCAGCGTGTGCAGCTGCTTCTCGTTCAGCACCGTCCTCACGCGGGTGGTCTTCTCGGCCGCTTTGTGCGACTGCGGCCGCGGGCCGGGCGGCCGTCCGGGCACCGGCTCTGCGCGGCGGAGAGAAGGAAGGAGGGAGGGAAGGAGGGCGCGCGCCGTCAGCGCCGCCGCCGACGGCCGCCCGCAGCCCCCAGCCCGCCCGTCCGCCCCGAGGAGCGGCAGCGGCGGGCCGGAGCTGTGTGCCGGTACCTGCGAGGTGCGCGGGCGGTGGCGCGGGGCTGCGGGGTCCGCGGGCGGCGGTGCCGTCGGTGGGCGGCCCGTGGTCGGCGCGGCAGAGCAGGTCGCGCTCCCGGAGGCAGAACTGATCCCCGGGCAGCAGCTGGCGGCCGCAGGCGGCGCAACGGAAGCACTCCAGGTGGTAGACGTGGTCGCGGGCGCGCATCACCAGGTCGCTGCTGCTGAAGGCCGCCCGGCACTGTGCGCACTTGATGCCGAAGAGCCTGAGGGGCGGCGGCGCGCCGTCAGCGCTCGGGGAGCGCGGGGCCGCGAAGGGCTCCGAGCTCGGTTCGGGTTCGTTTCGTTTCGTTTTAGAACGAGCGGGTCACCTGCCGTAGTCCCGCTTGCAGTAGGCCTTGCCGTCCCGCAGGAAGCACGTGCAGGTCTCGTCCAGCGGCTGCCCGCACTCGGCGCACTTGAGGCAGGCGACGTGCCACTCCAGATCCGGAGACACCCGCAGCAGAAACGGGTCCTGGATGCGGCCCCCGCAGCCCGCGCACAGCGCCAGCCCCGGCCGTCCTGCGGGACCCGCGGCGTCAGCGGGCGGCGGGGGGAGGCTGCGGGCTGCGGGGCTTTGTTCTTTTGGGGGTTTGGGTTTCTGGTTGTTTCGTTTTTGTTTTCTGTTTTTTTGTTTTTTTTGGGTTTTTTTAAGCAAAATTGAAAGAAAGAGAGAAATACGGGCGGGAACGGGGAAAGAAATAAAAGAGCCGCGACGGGAGAAAACGGAGCGGTGGGGATTCCGAGGAGAAAGTTGACTGGGGGAAATCATAGGAAATCAACCCAGGAAAAGATAGAAAAGTGGAATCTCGGAAGTGGAAAGAAACGCAGAAACGCAGAAAGACCAATACAGAACGAGGGGAAGGCGGAAAGAAAGAACGAAAGAAAAAGAACTAACGATGGAAAGACAGAAAGAGAAAGAAGAGCAAAGGGAAAAAAAAAAAACGGAAAGAGAGAACGAAGGCAGGAAAGCGGACAAACGAAAACGGAAAGGGACATCGGGCAGACAGAAAGAAAAAAACCCCAAACAAAAACGGAAGAACAGAAAGAGAAAGAAAGAAAGGAAAACGGAAAGAGAAACAAAAAAAGAAAACCGAAACGCGGAAAGAGAAGGAGGGAACGAAAGAACGACGCGAGAAGGAAGGACGGAGCGGGCGCGGGGAGCACGGGGAGACGCCGCAAAACCGTGCCGCCTCGCGCCCAGCCCGCAGCCGCCCGTGGGGCCCTTCCCGGCGCTGTCAGCGAGGCGCCCGCCCGACGGCACCGCGGCGCCCCGCGGCCCTCCCGCCCCGGCACTTACTCTTGGCGGGCTCCCCCATGGCGCTCGGGAGCGGCCGCGGCAGGAGGATGTCCACCATGCGGGCGGCCCCGTGCGCACCGGCGGCGATGCGCGATGCGGGACGCGGCGCCGCCGCTCCACCACTACCCGCGCCGC